CAAGAGTACATGAACACCAACTGGCTACAAAAAGACACGACCAATACGCACATGGTCAAGGAGAACCACGACTTCGACTGGGACAACACCAAGATCCTGGGACAGGCTAGGCAGAGACAAGCACGAGAATTCCTGGAAGCATGGCACCCCACAAAGCATGCTATTAATAAACACATTGAACTTGACCACATATACATTCCACTACGGAGGAAACCCGGAAGTGAGGCAATCCATCGCAATGGACCCCAGACTTTTAAAAACCAGGCAGGAAAACACACTGATGCTTCATCAGAGGCTACACTGAAGACGTTACCAAGCACGGTAGCGAAACGTCTGTGGAACAACAAACCAGCTCGGCGAGCCAACCAACCTCAACACTCACAACCCAAGCTACAGATCTACTCCAAAACCTTATAACCTTTAAAATAAAAAGGTTAGATTCAATCCTGCAGAAGTTCAAATTTTGGGAGCAATGCATTATAAGTTGCCCTAAGTTGTTGAGATGAGGTTGTAAACTTCACTGACATTATTGTAACTGGGTATGTCTGGGATTTCACTCTGGCTTTCTCCACAGCACTACAAGAAGCTGCAGAAAGATTTGAGGAGTTGAAAACCCAAAGGGAAACAAGACAGGCACAAGAGGACAAACGAAATGAAAAGAAACCACCGCCGTACAAACACATCAAGGTATAGATTGTTACCTTCCTCCAGAATATACCCACCACATTGTACCATATTGCACCAAATATATCCAGACTGCTGAATGCTGTGCTGGATGCTGAATAGTATACTGCTGTGATAAAATGTAGCATGCCATAGTACATTTACCACATGCATGTGGTAAAGCAAAGTTTAAAAAAAAAAGGCCAGGGTGTTCCTGCTGCTCTGCATATGACACCCAACAAACAGGGTTTCCAGTCATAGGCAGTAAAGGCAGCCTGAAATCGGGCATGCCTACAATTTGACAAGGAGACTTGTTAAAAAAAAAAGAAGTAAATTTAAGCTGAAGCAAAAACAAAGTTGCTGGAAAAGCTCAGCAGGTCTGGCAACATCGGTGAAGAATGAAACCAAGTTAACGTTTCGGGTCCGGTGACCCTTCCTCAGAACTGGAAGTAATGAAGGTCCTTATTTCTTTGTGCTTCACAAACGAAAAGGACATTGGTAACATTCAATATGAGAAATAATTCAGATCATTTTCGTTTGAGAATTCCTACTTTGAGCATCCTCCACATGAGTTGACAGGTTTTTCTCCCTGTCCTTTCCTGTAGTGTTAGTTTTAATACGGAGAATGACAACTGGTTCCTCTTTCCCAATTCCTTTCATGCACTTCAAAATATCTTACCCTAGCACCATATAAGCAATACTTCTCCCTCATTGGCAGTTGGGACTTCAGAAGATGTATCCATCACTACAGTGTTTTGGTTGTCATTCTTTCTTCCTCTATATACCTTCAGGCAGTGAGTATGTCTGACCTGTTGGACAGAACCAGTTCCTATGGTTCATTCACATAGGTTTTGCTCTCCTGCCATAGCTGTCTCGTTCTTGTGGATTTTCTAGTATTGTGACTCAGGTGAAATGGTTTCAGTATAGGCAGGTTACATATTTTATATATAATAACTTATCTAAAAAATAGAACAAAAATAACTAATCTGATTCTTGGTGTAGCATTAGAAAGATAAACTGTATTAGTACTTGGAACGTTAGTTAATTATAAATATTTCTATTATCTTTCGAATACAAGAGCTGTGATATTTTTGCAGCTTTGTACTAATGTGTGTGAATACTTTGTTCGGTCTGATGTCATAGCTGATGTTTCTTTGTGTGAAATGGTAATTTAGTATTAACATTGATTTTGGCCATTACATGCGTGGTGGTACTTCCATCACACAACGTGACTGCAAAACATAAGTTGAACCAAATTTCAAAGTTTACTGTGATTGAGAAAATTAAACTTCAGTTGAAAGGGTATGGAAAAAAATACAACGTCTCTGATGTTCAGGGTTAAAATCAATCGAGAAATTGTAGTGAGAGTTGAAAAGTAAAAAAAGAACTAAAAATTCTGAACATTCATATGTACATGAATGGGGGAAATGTGCCATATTGTCTGTTTCTTCATCTAGTAGACAGCATATTTCCATTTAAATCTTTGTAAAAAATGAAAAATAATTTTAGCTAGGAATTATATGTGCCTTTGAAATTCTGTCATTATACATCTAGTGCTTCATTCACAAGAAAATAGGTTTCATTTTTGATATTGTTACTGTATTAATTGACTTGTTTGAGGAGGAGCCAAACCATCCTACCTGAAAAGAAACATCTCTGGTATGTATTTCTCCAAGTATGCATTCAGGTGGCAGCTTTTTAAATTTAGTAGGCAGTTAATGTTTTGATCTTGATTACTTTTTGAACACGTTTACCAGCCTGTCTTATACCAACCTTTAAAAATGACCGAGACTAAAACGTTTTTGGAGGCAATGGCAAAAATAAAAGGACTGCTGCATAAGAGTCTTATGTACATTAAAATTTAAGTAAGTTGCCAACTTTAATTTGATACTACTGAAAAACCAGCTAAATTTAAGATACACTGCTAAAATGTTACAAATTGCTATTTATTTAGTTTAATTTGGTAATTATGGCCTAAGTGAAAGTCTGGCATATTGTCTGTCTGATGATGTCTGAATTCTGGGCCATGTAATTGGTATTGGGGGTTCATTTAAAAATGTGATCAGAAATATAAACTGAATCACAAAGGAGTAATTGCTTAACCAAAATAAAGGCATCACGGCTTGGGTTGGTAGGATTATGTTCCTAGCTGATTTTTCTTCTTTGGAGGAATCAATGTCCTATTTCCCGTAAGTTTACTTTCATACTCTTACCTTCTGTCCCTTACTTCTCAGCTCTTACTCCTGACCAACTATGATCAGATTCTCCTTAACCTCATCACCACCACACAGCCTCTATGTTCCATTGCTATTTCCACCACTTCCAGAGTGATGCCATTATCACATATATAATTGTTCCCTTTCAGCTTCTGAAGTGATGATTTCCTCTGCTAGACCCTGTTTATCACCACCTCCAACATTGCCTTCCCTTCCTAGAGTTCCTTTCAATGTAAGCATGGTTGGTACTACAATTGCTGTTTTACTTCCGATCTTCTTACTGTCTAGATCCCAAACACTCCTTCCAGGTGGATTTACTTCCACATGTCTCAATTTAGTACCCTGTGGTCACTGCTGACAATGCCATCCCTTGTGTCAGGCAATACTAAGCACAAATTTGATGATCATTTTGCTGAGCACCAGAGTAAGGGTTGCATGCGTGTCTCTGAGCTTCCAGTTGCCTGCTATTTTAATTCTGTACTCCGATTCTGAACTCTGTGCTTAGCCATGTACATAGTTTCAATGAAGCTCAAAATAAGCTTAAGGAACAACATCTCACCTCTCAACTGGGCACTTTACAGTCTTCTGGACTTATTAGTAATCCTAGATCATAACCAGTACTTCCTTTTTGTGTTTTGGATAACAGCTGTTGACAACTATACTGCATTTTCCTACTAACATCTTCTCTAGGCATGTTTTTTGTTTCTTTTCTATCCCCTTTTGCCTCCCATGATTATTGGTTTTGTCGTCATCACTTTCCTGTCTTCCACCCCTCTCATAACTTCCACTTTATCAGAGATCTTTCCTTTTTCTTTTGTTCTTTTTCTCTCTCTCCCCTTTCCCTGCCTCTGTACTTGTTTCAAACCTGTCATGTCTCTTTTTTCTGGTTCTGTTAAAAGGCCATCAACTTGAAGTGTTAACTCTTTCTCTCTTCTCACATGCTGCCAAACCTGCTGAGTGTTTGCATAATTTTCTGTTTTTATTTCAGATTTCCATTAACCATAGCATTTTGCTTTTGCAGTGTCCGATTTCAGTGTGTAGTTTGGACTTCTTGCAAGGAATGATTATTCTGTCTGTGTTATATAAATTAATATTCTAAACTCGGTAAATAAGTGTACTTTTATTACCAACTGTAGAAAGATAATTAAGTAATGACTAATCATTGAAATTTACCACTTGTCTTTCCATCAAGGTAAACAAAGCTGTGGGTAAGGCTCAGATTTTCACTGTTGATCCATCTGAGATTCCACGCTGCAATTGTAAGCCAACTGATGAGAATCCTTGTGGGATAGACTCCGAATGTCTGAACAGGATGTTAATGTATGAGTGCCATCCAGCTGTCTGTCCTGCAGGAGAAAAATGCCAGAACCAGTGCTTCACTAAGCGTCAATACCCTGAAGTAGAAATTTTGAAAACTGCAGGAAGAGGCTGGGGTTTACTTGCTAAATATAACATTAAGAAGGTGAGAAATTTGCCTCTACATTTAGATTCTAAATCATTAAAAAGTTTAGTACTATGGTCTCATTCAGGGAAGGACCAGACTGTTTCAACTGAGATGAAAACATTATCTGTATTCAGTTGATGATCTCCTTTGTTGTACACAGCCGTACTTGCTACCACTGGTTTTTCCAACTCTGGTACGGCTAACTATTTAAAAACTGAAAAATCGTCAATGGAAAATTACTTTCATGCTGAAAGTACTTCATTGTGTTTTGTTCTTTTTCAAAGTAGGAGTTTTAATGAAGTCACTGTTTGGCATTATCATTATTAAAATACCTTCACAGTAGCTGGTGGATAAATGCACTGACCAGTGTGACGCTAAGATACAATGAACAGATTTTCTAGTTTGGGAAACCAGTGGGATATTGTAGTTAAATTCAGTATGCCAAGCATATATAGAGGGGAAAAAAATAGTGTGCCTGGTCCTGATACAAGTCACTCAGCGTGGAACTTCACATGTGTGCATTGTTGTAAGAATAGGATTGGGACTTCAGCAAACCTTCCCAAGTTGGACAGTTTGTTGATATTAGCTGATTTTAGATTAGTGCTATTTAAAATCTGGCTCTTGGTCATGGGCATCCATGAACTGCATCAGTCTTACAATATAGCTCCCTTATCCCAGCAGCACATGCATAAACATGTGGAACTTTGGGTCCATGAACATAGTGTTGGAATAAGAGACCTATATTTACCAGTGTGATCACTAGAAGCTGGATCATAGAAATGTCATTTGGAATTGAAATTGAAATATAAATAATGTAACACATTGCAATATCTGGTTAGGATTAAGTTAATAAATGTTAACGATAATTTAGCCAGAATTGGCTTTCTATGCTGGCATAAATTGAGTCTCCTAATATCTACAGGGATATCATAGCTGGTAAGAAAAAGAATAGCCGGTAACTTATACCCATTGATACACAACATCAAAACATGCGCTGATATGAAACCCTGTGGACCCTACTGGAACACTTCCCACACCTTGCAAAGTGATGACAGCCCTACATCTTGATGATACACCACTTGGTTGTCAGCAGACATCACCAACTGCAAAGCTTATAATTGAACCAGAGTGACAAAGTCACTGCAACACAGAGGAGGCCATTGACCCATCACACTTGTGCTGGCTTTTCAAAGGGACAGTTCATCTAGTACCTCTCCCCAGTCTTCACCTCTTAGGCCTGCACATTCCTCTTTACAGATAATAATCCAGTTCTTTCTTGAATACCTCAGGTGAGTCCGCCTACATCACACTCTCAGGCAGTGCATTCCAGATCCCATGAAGTCACAGTGAGAAAACGTCTTCCTCACGTCATCATTAGTTCTTTGCCAGTTACCTTAAATTTGTGCCCTCTTGTTCTCTACTCTCTTATTAGTTGGGGTGGTGTTTCCCTAGCTGCCCAGACTACTCATGATTTTGAATATTCTATCAAATCTTATCTTCGCCTTCTCTAAGGAAAACCGTTCCAACTTTTCCAATCTAACTATGTAACTGAAGTTCTTCTGGAACCATTCTCGTGAATCCTTACTGCACCCACTCTGATGCCTTCTCATCCTTCCTAAAGTGTGGTGTTCAGACTACTACAGACTACTACACACTACTGCGGCAACTCTGAGTGGTGAAGTCCCAGGTTTCAACTTTCCATGGAAAATCTGGAGACCTGTTAATGACTTAAAATGGGCCAGGGATGATGTGGCAGATTTCTCCACATGAGGAACAGCTCAATTTGTGACTGTGGCCATGCATGTGAGACAATCACATATATACTGAACTTCTGCCCTGAGGGATGCACTTCTGGTGGCATTGCAACTATGCCTCAGCTGAAACTTCATCTGGTCCACTTATTTAAGGAAAAATATGTTGGTTTTGGCGGCAGTCCAGAGGAGGTGAATTAGTTTGATTCCGGGTTTGCACGGATTTTCTTGTGAGGCGAGATTGAGTAGATTGGGCCTGTTTAGAAGAATGCGATGTGACTTTATCAAAACTTACAAGACTCTCGGGGATTTGACAGGTTTGATGCCAATAGAACCAGAGGGCATAATCCCTTCGTAAGGGATCACCCATTTAAGACCGAGATAGGGAGGATTTTTTTTTCTTCTGAGAGTAGCCAGTCTTTGGATTTCTTTATTGTAGAGAGCTGTCAAGACTGAGATAGACAAATTGTTACTCAGTATGGAAGTCGAAGGTTAGAGGTATAAGGCAGGAAAGTAGAGTTGAGGATCGAGATCAACCATGAATCATTGAATGGCAGACCAGAATTGATGGGCCTTAAGGCCTACTTCTCTTACATTTTATCGTCTGATAGTCTTAAGTTCTGGGGCTGCCAGGATTGTGACAGCTGTTAGTCAATCTGGTGATATTTCAGACAGATAGGATTTCCAGATGTTTCCCTTATTCGTGCTGCTGCAACATTTTATGGCTTCTGGGTGGCTTCCCTCCTTTGGAAACTAACCAACTTCTTATTCTGGGAATGGTAAGACTGTGAAACTCGTGAAATGGTGCTATATATTATCTGATGAAATATAGTTTTATAATTCTTGATTTATTTCTTCTCACTGATAATAAAATTGGAAGAATCAGTTGGACATTAAATATAATCTGTGTTGCTACTTTGACAATTATAGGGATTTAAAGTACTCTCCAATTATAGAGATTCAGAGTACTAATTTTGACTCTATTTTAAGTGTATCATGTAAAACCTCTCAAGAACAATGCTTCAGCATTTGATATCTGCTGTGTTCATGTTCACACTGCTGAATCTGTACCTCTGTTATAGGGACAGTTTGTGAATGAGTACGTGGGTGAGGTGATAGATGAGGAAGAATGTTATGCTCGAATAAAATATGCACAAGAACATGACATCACCAACTTCTACATGCTTACTCTTGACAAGGTAATTTGAAAAACTAAAGTCTCTCTGGAACTAAAAGTAGAATGATCATACCAGCACCATTACTGATCTCTAATCAGATGATCCTCAGAATTAGGACATGTGATATTGTCAACCAATAATTGAGATGAGTGGCAATGGATGATGAGTGGTTTGTATGTCTTTGGAATCAGTATTTGAATGTAGCCTGCACTGATGGGATTGATGCCTCTTCTGCTGGCTGAGGGTTGTTTTCAAGTGAAATTGAGAAATTGTATTGGAGTTCTTACTGGCAATAGCCCATAGTACAAAATTGCTTCTTACTCACAACTAATTATTAATCTCAGAGATTGTAGGATGGCATTTAATTGCCAAGTCTGACCTATGTGTGTTTGGTACCATATTAAGAAGATCTTCTGTGTCTTAAATGAAAAGTGTTCTGTTTTCTCCAGCACAGATATTCCTCATCTCACTCGTACCAAAAAACTGGCAAAATAGTTTAGAGCAATGATATACTACATCCTTAGAAATGGCATGCATGTTTTGTCTGCCTAGATTAAACACTAGGCACATTCTACAGAGGGAGCAAGTAAACATGATTTGGTCACTTGCCAGCCTTTATTTCTTTGTGTCTTTCAGCACCTCATTTTACATGTGTTTGTCTGATTGCTTTCTGTATTAACTGTTTGTAAGCACTCAACCATTGAAGGTTATTAGTGGAAGATTTTCTTTTATCAAATGATAAATTGTCAAATGATGATAAACTTGTGAAATGCCACTTTCAAGTTCAATATAAGCTTATAATGCTGCTCTATTTAATAAACTTAATTGAGATAAAACTTTTATTTAGATCTGAAATAAATTTGGATACATTTAGCTCTGTGTTATTGTGTTGCCAAAGATGTTCAACTATTGCTAGGATTTTCTGATGCAATGTATTTAGAAAGTACAGATATCCCCTGTTTAGCACTCCTGATGTGTTCCTAAAAAAAAGCAGGTTAAATTGAAACATGCTAAACAAAATCACTTGCCTAAAGAACAGCAAGCAATATTACATTTCTGATGTAATCTACATTAAAAATCTGTTGGTTGCCTTGAACATCAGTAGCCCAAAATCCTCTCTAACTTTATAATTATTAATAACTGAAGAATGACACTGCCTGATGGTCACCCATTTCCTCACTGCCTGTGTACTTCAGAGCTGCAGTGTGACAGCTCCCTCAACTTTTGGTAGTCATGTAGACTCTGCCTCATGAGTGCACACAAGTGACTTGAGCTGCCTCTCACATTCTAAAACATGGAGCTCAAGCTTGTACAGTCAGTGTCGCTTCCTAAAGATGTGACCATCTGGGACACATGGTGTGTCCATGACTTCACACATCTACATGTACACTCCACTTGGGTGAGCTAGCCTGCCACTGTGTAACTTTAAAACTCATTTATTACAATTAGAATAGGAGAAAAACTTTGCAGTACTCACTAGTCAGCTTTTTCCCCCTTAATAAAGTATGAGCCAACTACAGGAGGCAGCTCCCAGTGCAGACTCCTCTTATACACTCTTTTCATTCTCTTGGGCCACTCCCTTCTCTAGGTGATGCTGACAGCCTGTCTCAGGATCCTTACCTCGCCTGTTCCTCTTCGGGCTTCACATCCTGCTTGCTTCCCTTCGTGATCTTGCTGCTTTCCACCTTTCTTCTGCTCCCTGAACCCCTCACCTCATCCCCAGCTTTCTGCTTCAAACTCTGACCCTCCTATTTCACCATTTCCCTCTTCATCTTCCTTGCTTTCCTCTCCTAAAATCTTGGTGTGAGCAATGGTTGAGAAAGGGGGTAAATGAGCAACAGCAGTTTTGACTGATTGGAAAGTGTGGACAAGGTGGCAGAATATGACAAGCAGGTGAGTTAAGCGAAACAGTGAGTCGGGGCATTAGGAAAGAAAGTGGCAAACACGAAGGTCAAGAGAGTGGATCAGGGGCAGTCAGGGAATGAAGCACCAAAATGGAGAGGTGGTGAACTGTAATGTTGGGGTGGGAAACAGAGAGGTGACAAGTAAGAGGGTTAGGGGAGCAAGTGACAAAAAGATGGTTCCGTATCCAAAAAGCGCATGCTGAAATAAAAAAAATGAAGACAGTCCTCTTCAGGGAACAACCCTAGCTTCCACATGTGCCAAACATGCCATTAGAATGCAGTGTAAGGGATATACCTGTACTCTTAATTCATAATCTCATAAAGTAAAGGTTTTCAAAATATCAGAATGTATCATTCATTCTCAGACTTCTACAAAATCCTTTATATTGCCATGTTTTATTTTCCTGAAATAAATTCTTTGTGGTCACATTTATTTTTATCTGCTGTGTTAAGATTTTGCAGAATACTTCACACAATGAGACTGCATTTCTAAACTCCTTATAGCATATGTAAGTTTTTAACTGTGAATTTTTGTATCAACAGGACCGGATTATTGATGCAGGCCCAAAAGGAAATTATTCACGCTTCATGAATCACAGTTGTAAGCCAAACTGTGAGACACAGAAATGGACAGTGAATGGAGATACTCGAGTTGGACTATTTGCTTTATGTGATATTGCTGTTGGTAAGGAATAATTTGAGGTTAGAGCTTAAAATATATACCAGTGTGGAATCATCATGTAATTGTATTCGAGTGGATATTAAATGGTGTAAAGTCTGAAACCAATGTAATCATTTGTTAAAGCGTAATGTAAAGTTTGATGTACTGTTGATATGGGTAGATTTCCAAAATAAAATGCAGGAATAGTGCCGTGAGGTTTAGAAAGTTGGTTAAGCAGACCTTTGGTTTACATCTTGTTCTAATTGTTACAGTATGCCAACTGAATCATGTTCAAGGGTTGGTACCATTTCTAGATCCAATCTGCTTATTGATGTTGCAATTAGCAGGCTGCCCCTGCGTTCGTCATTCGTGTTTAATCAAACAGCAGGCTGAGGATACAGGAGGGCCAGTCAGAAGCCAACCTGTGAGGGAGGTCAGCAGCTTTCACTTTATCTTTGATAAGAGTAGAGGTACAATGCTTGGGGGTGCGAAGGAGGAGTTCTGCAATGAGAGCACGGTGAGGAGGAAGGCGTCAGAATGATTTTCTTCAGCCAAAGCATTCTGCGGCTGCAGGCTGCATAAAAGACTTCTAAATGTGAGATCTCCACCTACTTTAACTGCATTTTACCATTTTTCCCAATTATTCACCAATCAGATCTAAAGTTAAAGCCAGTTTGTCCTCCTGCAATGTATATCTTCTTGTGAGCTAGTGAGCCATGCACATTGCTGAGCTCCAGTCAACTTTGGTAGATGCACAAAAATTCAAGTTTACTGCCAAATCAACTCCATTAACTGCCACATTCTGATGGGTTGCCATTCTTACCTTGGGCGCACCTCTGGGTGTAGTGTGAGGAAGCAGTCAGAGAGCCCGCCTAATGCTTTACAAGGAGCAGGAGTAAGCCATTCAGCCATTTGAGCCTGTTACCATTCATAGAATCCCTACAGTGTGGAAACAGGCCCTTCAGCCCAACAAGTCCACACCGACCCTTGGAGCATCCCACCCAGACCCATACCCCTATAACCCACCTAATCTACACATCCTTGCACACTACGGGCAATTTAGCATGGCCAATCCACCTAGCCTGCACATCTTTGGACTGTGGGAGGAAACTGGAGCACCTGGAGGAAACCCACACAGACACGGGGAGAATGTGCAAACTCCACACAGACAGTCGCCCGAGGCTGAAATCGAACCCGGGTCCCTGGTGCTGTGAGGCAGCAGTGCTAACCACTGAGCCACCATGCCGCCCTCTTAAACAAGGAATGGTAGATGTAAAGCGCAGGCACCGCTGGGATTTGAAACCAGGATCTCTTGTTTACTAGACAAGCGCGTTAACCAACTAATCCACCGGCGCCACACTAAGCTATTAGGACATAGAACGTAGCTGAGCAGATTGTAACCTCAAATCCTGCTCATGATAACTTCCCTCCCACTTGCTCAACAAGGATCCATCTACCTCTAAAAAATATTCAAGGATTCTCCTCCCACCAAATTTCAGAAAATTTCAAACACTTGCGATCTCTGGGACAAAATATAGACCTAATCTCTGTTGAATTGGTCAGTCCTAATCTTAAACAGTTCTCAATTCTCCCATAAGAGGAAACATCAACCCTGTCAAAACCCCTCAGAATCTTGTACATTTCAGTGAAGTTGGTTCTTACTCTTAAACGTCATCCTCACCTGTCAGCCTGTCCGCATAAAACAACTCACTCATTCTAGATGTTAGTCTCGTAAACCTTCTCTGAACTGTTTCCAACACATTTATGTCCTCCCTGAAATAAGATAACTAAAACTCTGCATAGTACTCAAGATGTGATCTCCTCAGTGTCTTGTGTAGCATAATCTCCCTACTTCAGTATTCAGTTCCCCTTGCGATAAATGATAACATTCTATTATTTCTTGATGTACCTACACTTAATATTTTGTGATATGCAGAAGTACACCAAATTACTCTTCATCTCAAGCTTTACAGTCACACCTCATTTAAATAATATGCTTCTTTTTCATCCTTCCTCGCAAAGAGGATAATTTTCCCATGTCCTATTCTATTTGCCAGATCTTTAACCACTCACTTAATTTGTCTATGCACCTCTGAAGCAATCTTATGTCTTCTTCACACCTTAGTTTCTTACCTATCTTTGTGTCATCAATAAGCTTGCTAAGCATACCTTCTGTTTCTTCATCCAATTAATTTAAATAAATTCCATTTCCAAATTTCTTAGTGGTAACCATACCCCTCACCCCTCCCCAACCTCCAAAGCTGTTCCATAAAGTCGATAAAGTTCTAGCTAAAGGCATCAAATGTGATCTTTTGTATCTTTCAATTTAATACTTAATCAAGTAAACCAATTCACTGGGCATATTTTTAAAAAGTACTTTTTTATTGTATAAAAATCAAAAGAACTGCGGATGCTGTAAATCAGAAACAAAAATAGAGATTGCTGGAGAAGCTCAGTGGGCCTGGCAGCATCTGTGGAGAGAAATTAGAGTTAACATTTTGGGTCGAGTTCTGAGGAAGGGTCACTTGACCCAAAATGTTAACTCTAATTTCTCTCCACAGATGCTGCCAGACCTACTGAGCTTTTCCAGCAATCTGTATTTTTGACTCATCAAATATTATTATTTCTTAGAAAAAGCCTTGTATACTTTCTGCAAATTTTGAAACATACACATTTTACATATCTAGCGCTTAAAAAGAGCTACCTTGGTACATTAACTAACAGAAGTCCACAATGACTGAAGAATTATTATTACGTTAGCATTCTGCTTACCCATATTCTATTTTGGCATTACACATTGACTTTCAACTTCTGCGCGCTATCATTCATTTGCACAATCTTTATGTAATAAACCGGGGAGTTTAGAAAAATACAGATCACAATTCAATCTTCCTGAACATATGTACCCCAGCATCATTCACTCTCATGGTTAAGAATCTGAATGCAAAATTAGCAACAAAATTAGAACTTGATAACAAATCAACAACTTAGTTGTAAGATCTAATGAACAATGCATATATACATGGCTTTTGAACTGTATTTTTCAGTTTTTCTGTGTAGTTCGATCAAGACAGCTTAGGAACAATCAGTCTATGTAGAACTTCCTGAGATAAATTTAAAATTTCATTATAATAATATAATAAAGGAGCATTGGCTTTTAAAATTGACTTTGAATCTTATATAGGAACAGAATAATAGATTGATATAGTACATCATTTATTATGTATTATAAACCTAGGCATGAGGTTATTGGAACTAGGGGGATATGTTCTCCCTTTTATGCAGAAAATTGAGTTTTTTTTCCCCAATGAGAGCCATATGGAGGGCCTGATGGGAAAGTAAAGTAGAGACCAAAACCAGATCAGCCATGATGTATTTGAATGGTAGAACCGGTTGAAAGGTGTAAATGGCCTCTTATTCCCACTAAGCCTTATTTTAAAGGAGTGGAATATATTATAATTGCATACTAAATTCCGTAATTGTTTAGGGTGTCTCTGATTAACATTTTTAAAAAGGCAATGCCTAGAAACTAAGGAACGCTAAGATGTGAAGAGAGCAAATAAACTTAGGTGAGTGTTGTGGGCTTCTAGCACAGAGCTTTAAGTTAACAGAAATATACGTTGGAAGTTTGGGCATACCTGATTTTGTACTGTATGATTTCCACCCCCATTGCTTCTTATAACAGTAATTTGTGAGATTCAATAATTGGGCATGAACCATATTCCTGTGAAATGTGTGTATTTATTTACGTAAACGCATCGGAAAGCAGTTAACACAAGAATGTAACTTCACATTTACTTTAATTGTCTGTCTGAAAATTTCTTTGTGACATTTAGGAATTCACAAGGTATGGTTTTGATATGATTGGTAACTATGTCATGGGAAGGTGAAATGCAAATCTAATCACACTGATACTTTTGCAGGGTCCGAACTAACATTTAACTACCACCTTGAATGCTTGGGCACTGGAAAAACAATTTGTAAATGTGGGGCTCCAAACTGCAGTGGCTATCTAGGTGTACCACCCAAGGTAGGACTTCTCTTTCCTCATTCTTCATATAACCACAAATATGCATCACATTTTAAACTACTTTATACAGGCTTAATTATTCATTTATTTATTTTTCACTTTGAGAATCTGTAGTCTACAATACTGTAGTCAGAAAATTGTTCTGAATTAACATGAAAATGAATTTATCTGAAAATTGATTAAACTTTAATAAACTAAATAAAAGTATTGTGCAAAATGTTTTGCAATTACAAAGCACAATAAAAACTAGAAGAGGAAATTTTTAATCTTAATGATGAAAAAACTTGCACCAGTTAATGAAGTGCTGTAGGTCATTGCGTATAAGTCAATCTGGTGTATAAGACAACCTCATTTAAAATGTTTTCGTTGTAGTTAGAGCTATCCTTATGGAATTGATTCATTCAATATAATTTGAATTACTGGGTTATGTTTTCTATTTGCATTTCAAAACGGCAGCTACCAACAATAATGGTTCAGATTTATACTTGATGTATGAATCAACTTCTATTTTTTTGAGGGATTATAAGGTTGACTTGTATGCTGTCATCTATGGCACTTAGTGTAGTCACTGCTGTTTTGT